TTATCTAAACAGTAGAATCTGGCCAGTGAAGCAGCTCCCTCACGGCTACGAGAGGGAGGAAGAGAGAAAGAGAGGAGAGACTCGCTGGCAGAAATTCACGCTTTCGAGATTTATTTTCCAATGGATGAATACACCACCCGGTCCTCTTTCTACCGAATCGCAATCGAACGGATGGAAAGAAATCAAACGGGCCTTGATCGCATCTCGGATTCAAAGAGAGAATTCCCTTTTTCCAAGGAATCCCTTCCCCCTCCCTCCTTGAAAGGAGAGATTTCTTTCTTTCTCCAAATTCAATATTTGAAAATGGTTACCCTAGTCATCCACGTTTGTACGATCAATCTTGACCGAGTATTCTTAGCTATTCGCTAAGATCGAAGGAAGATCTTTCTTCAACAAAGAACATTTCCAATTCAAATCCGTGTGCTCGAATCTTCGTAGACTTTGTACTGATAAATCCCACGAATTCGTCCTTGCGATGTAAAGCATACGTGTGCAGAGACGTTTTACGTAACACGATTACGTTTTCTACACACGTATAAAACCGTACACACCTGTGCATTCGTAGTAGCGATACACGTGGTCCAATTTCCAGGGAATTAAAAAAAGAAGCAGGAGTGAGAGCAGGTGGGGAGGGGTAAACACATGGGAAATTTCGATGGAACGGCAAGGGTCAACGATTGGCCGATCAAGTTCAGCAGCCAGTTAACCGACGGTTGGCCTGCTGTCCTGCGTCCGACTAACGACTTAATGACGGGAATTCGCCACTTACGGGGCTCCTCCTTTTCTCCTCTTTCCTCGTGTATCGTCGTATCGTCTTTCTCCTCCTCACCATCGGCGAGCAGCATCGGCGTAAAACGAAGCGAGGCAACGGTCGTCGTGTAACAATGTCGAAAATTGGACGATCCTCTCAACAGGGATCTCTATTAACCTCGTCGAGTTTAGCGGCCAATTACGTACGGAACGAATAAATTCGGCTCGACAAATCGTGCGGCGTGTCAGCTAATCCGCTCGCGTTAAACGAGAGCTTCCAGCATTTCCCTTCGTTCGGTGTTGATATTATTAAAAAACAAAGGGGAAAAAAAAACGATCCTTGCATATATCTCGTTCGTTGATAATAATCGATGCGATCGTTAACAGAGAATTTGCGAAGAAACGGAGAAACGTTGGCGATGGAATAAGGAGTAAGTAGGTTAAATCATAGTTAACAGTAGATTACTTGATGGACGTGAAACAAGATCCCCGTTCAATGTGGACAAGACTTCATTGAATTTGAACCAGACTGTTCTTAATTTTGTAACAAGATTTCATTGAAATTGGATAAAGACTCTATTAAATATATATTAGATTAATGTCTTTAAAAAATAAAAAAATTTCACGCATTTTCCTCTATCAAGTAAGAAGTCGTATTTAGAAATTTCCAATCTCGATAACCTTTGTGCATATCCAACGATAAAGATCGATAAGTCGGTGGAATTCTCGATATCCACGGATGCTTCCCTTCTCCCTCAATAATAGCCTCATAATGCTAGGAAATTACATTACGACCAGAAGCTACCGTCTCGCGAATAATTGTTATGCACCGGCGACTCAACAGTGGCGTAGCATTCGAGCGAACACTTGTTTACTCCCGTCCATTCGTTCTTCCTCTTCGTTCGTTCGTTCCTCGTAACCAATCCCCTTTCGTTTCGTTTTCAAATTAAACAAGTTCGAAAAGAAACGGTCGATCGATTAGCTAGATTCGATCGATCGATTTCCTTATCGACAAAGAAGGAGTAATTCGAATAACTCTTTCACGCTTCTTGCACCACCTCGGAGACAGGAATCCGCCCAGTGGACGAAAATTCCTCTTTACCTCGAATTCATTAACCTTTAAGAGATAAATTATTCGTGACGCGATAATTCGACGCCGATCGGCAACTGGTTCTTTCGCAAGGGTGACCAATTTCTTATTGATTTTTCACGATTGAAAACGAAACCGTTAAATCACAAGCTTCATTTTTTTCTTCAGCTCCCCGTTATTTTAGACCACCTTCCTTATCCACTCTCTTTCCAACTCTCCCTCTCTCTCTCTCTCTCTCTATCGTTCCCCCCTCGTCACGGCCAACCGGCTGTGAATATTCCTTCAATTTACCACCAATTTTTTCTTTTTTTCTCTGGTGGAGAGTAAAGAGAGGCCTCGCGTGCCTTTGACAGGAAACGTGCTGAGCCACGTTTTACGTAATGGAGCGATTTTCCCTCGCTCTCTTCCCCCCGCTCCACGTAGCGAGCACGCAGGTGATAACTTCATCGAGGATCAGTTTCCCCATTCGGGTATATTCGCTCGTCTCCTCTTCCATCGGCTCCATCGGTTGGGGAAACGGTCGAGGTTCGCGAGTTCCCTGCGTGCCGCACGTTTTGCAGCCTGTTCTTCTTCGCCGCCGCAGAGAAACGCATTCAGGAAGGAGCAAGATACTATTATCGGCAAACAAGTTGGCGATATCGAATTTCTCGCGTATCGGCGCGAGAGTTGATCGTTGATCACACGAGCGGATCCCACAGAATGGACGTGAGTGTTCTTTCCACAGAAACGTTATCTCTCTCTCTCTCTTCCATAATTATACGGTGAACGTCGATTCATTTATGTGTTTCGATTTAATTAGTCGAATGATTGGCTGGTTGAATTCAAACGACGATCCTTTGAAGAATATATTCATCATCTTCGATATATTATTCACTCTGACATCCCATCCTCGAATATTATTAGAGGAATCGATCTGATCGCGAGGGAAAAGAAAAAAAAGAAAGATTTTGTTTTATTTAAAATTATAATAAAAAGAGAAAAGGAGAAAGAAGAAAAACGGAACGATTGGATTTCAGGGGGAGGAGAGCAAGGGAAGCAACGAGGTATCGAAGCTGCAATGGGCGGATTATCTTGTCATCGGCGTAATGTTGTCGATCTCGGCCGGGATCGGGATCTACTACCGATTCACCGGAGGCAGGCAACGCACGGCCGAGGTTAAGCCCTTGGAAAATTAATTTCGCCGATCGCGAATCGACATCTGGTCTATCCGGTCGCGATCCAATAACCGTGATAAACCGGGGTCCGAGCGATACACACCACGTGTATCCGTACATACGTCCACGTACTCGGAGAGCGCGCATTAGATCCGGCGGTTCCACAACTCGGATCTTTCACCGTTATCGCCCGATCGATCCAGCCGCGCGATAAATATTCCCATCGACGCAAATTGCCAACTATCGGCCGCGCTATTTAATTTATCCGTGGGCTGGTTGGCCGCGAGCGGCGACGAATCGCCGCCGTAAAAGACGGAACCGTTAATTGACGCTGAAACGATTATTACGAATCGAATTTAGAGGAACGATCGAGCGATAATAACGATACGAAATAACACCAGGTTTCTCATCCCCCAACACCAATGTTTCAATATAGAATCGATCGCCGCCTCGAAGGGGCGATTCGAAATCGAATTTCGCAATTGATCTATTAATCCCACGCGTTGGACGACTTATTAATTGCCTCTCGAGAAGTAATCACGCGAAATAAGTGCTGGTCGTAACCGAAGGTTAATTGGCATCGACAGGAGTACTTCTCGGCCAATCGTACGATGGGCGTCGTTCCCTTGGCTATCGCGCTCACGGTGTCTTTCATGTCGGCGATCACCCTGCTAGGAATCAGCGCGGAAAATTACGTCCACGGTACGCAGATCACGCTTTTGTACCTGGGTGGTTTCTTCGGCACGCCGATCGCCTTGTACTTCTACCTTCCCGTCTTCACCCAGTTGAACAGCATGAGCGTGTACGAGGTAATCGTTGGATAGATTTATGACCGATCTTGGGAATAGATTTTTAGAAATGGAAGATGGAAATCTCTCTTCCAGTATCTGGAGAAACGATTCGGAATCGGGGCACGACTGGTGACAAGCTGCGCCAACTTCCTCCAATTGTTGTTGTACACCGGAGTTGTGTTGTTCGCTCCATCGTTGGCCCTCGAGGCGACGACCGGCCTGTCAGGGAACGCGAGCGTCCTGTTAATAGGGATGATTTGCACTTTCTATTCTACGGTGGGTGGCATCAAGGCTGTCCTCATCACAGACGTCTTTCAAGGATTGCTCATGTTCGTTGGAATCGGTTGCGTCCTCGGCATAGCGGCCGGCGACCTCGACGGAGGCTTGTCCAACGTGTGGACCATCGCCCGCCAGGGTGGTCGAATAGAATTCTTCGAGTAAGAGACGAGTCGGTCGAGAGTTCGATTCGATAGAGAAATTGTTCCATTTCTAAGTTTCAGAATTGATCCAACCGTAAGGCATACCTGGTGGGGATTGCTGATCGGTGGCACGACGATTTTCCTCTCTCTATACGCCGTGAACCAGGTTCAAGTTCAACGTTTGCTCACCGCCAAGTGAGTATCTTCACGATCGTAGTGGATTCGATCGATCAAACCTCTAACTCTATTTTATTTATCTTATTATCAGAAGTCTGAAAGCTTCGCAAAACGCGCTCATTCTGAGCGGTCCGATCACGTTGGCTCTAGGCATCATGACATCGTTCTCCGGCCTGGTTTTGTACGCTGTCTACAGAGACTGCGATCCTCTCATGTCCGGTAAAATTTCCAGCTTCGACAAAATAATGCCGTATTTCGCGGCTGATAGAATGTCACGGGTGCCAGGGATCACTGGCCTCTTCATATCCGGTGTATTCAGCGCCAGCCTCAGCACCATTTCCGCCATGTTGAATTCCTTGGCCGCCGTGGCTCTCGAGGATTACGTGAAACCTGCATGTCGCAAAATCGGGCTACAATTTCCAGAAGAGAGAGCCACACTGATCGGCAAAGTTCTGGCTGTTTCGAACGGTTTCAGTTGCTTGGCCGTCGCCTTCATCGCCAGATCGATGGGTTCTCTGGTCGAAACCGCCATAGGAATATCTGGGGCTATAGGGGGCCCGATCCTGGGCATTTTCACCCTAGGGATGTTCGTGGAGAGGGCCAACGAGAGCGGAGCCATCACGGGGATCGTCTCGGCGCTCGTCACCTGTATGTGGGCCGCGTTCGGGCCGAAACCGGACGTGCCGTTACTTCCACTGTCCGTCGAGGGCTGCGACAATTCCACCTCGCTGTTCCATTATCGAAACACCACTCAATCCGACGAGTAAGAATTTCTTGCTCGTTAAGAAGGCGAGCTTGTTACCGAGTCTTGTTTCGAATCTTGCGTATCTCGAGCCCAGTTGTACGTAGTAAAAAGTTTTAGTCGAATTCGTTCGAAGAGAAAATTGTAATTGATTAATAGGCGGAAGTGGCAACTTTTCCTGGGACACGTTAAAAAGAAAAGCTATCCGCTTTTATCGAGTTTATCGATTCCCTTTGACGCGTAAGACGTAATTACGAGAGCAAGAAGAGTCTCGTTCTTTTATAGGATAAAAGCAGCTTGTTCTCTTTCTTGTTTTTCTCTTTTTTTTTTTTTTTTACGCGCAATAAAAAATGTTCTCGTAATTTGTAATAACGCGAAGGAGGATATGAATAATTTTCTTCGATAAAATATTCTTCTTTCGCTCCCTCGAGAAAACTTCGAAAGAATTGATTTATTGATTCGTAACTACGAATATAGTCTCCCCCTAGTTTCTCATCTACCGGCCAATATATGAAATAAATTCCAACGATACTTTTCTCAGATCTATGGAACACTTCCTAGAAGTGTTCTACGCTCTCTTTCCTTTCCGCCAAGGAAAATTGTGTTACCACACGTGTTACCGTTCGACTCGCTTCTGGAACGTTATTGGCGCAAAAAGTGGCGAGTGCTCGGTGAGGAAAAGGCGGACGCCGCATTCCCTTCGTTCCTCCATCCAAGGCAGAAACGAATTTATCGGAAACGGAACGCTTATGGTTTATTTTTATCGCACGACAATTTTCATCGCGTCCAAAACGTAATTGAATGAAAATCAACGGTGAATCGATATACGATCGTTATGCGTTTCATAATAGCGGGCAATTGAGACGTGTAAGAAGCAACCGTCGATTCCCGATTTCTTTCGAGCAGAAGAGAGAGGCTCGCTTTCACGGCTCGCTCCTCATCGTTTCCCACGATGGTAACTAACGCTAATTACGCGTTAATAAACCATAATCACGGCCCCTTTAAAATCCCTGCCGCGTTCCATCGTTGCATACGATATTGCTTTCTCTTCGAACAAATGCCTCTAATATAGCCGATCATATTTTTCTCCTTCCTTTCCTACGGTTTATTATAAACGGCCCAGTTTCCAGCGTTGCTTGTAACTTTTGTTATACGGCGCGATATGTTCTGTTCTATCGAGAAGTTAATATAATTCTGAACTTTTAGACGTGTGAACGATTTTCTCGCGCCTTTTTATTTCTGTCCGTGGTTACAAATTAATTTAAACTTTTCATTATCGCGCGATTCGATTTCTAATCCATAATGCCGCTACTTAACTTCTGTTACGACTCGTATAAATGTTCTATCGAGATCTTAATTACGCGTTCGTTTAATGATATCATTTTTTATTTATAATCGTGTGTATCTGTGCTAACGAAATCTTTTCTGGCTTTTGATTGGTTGATTCAATTTCTAACGTGTAGTCTCGTTGCTAATCAACGTATGATAAAAAGTGTAAATGTCGTAGTATGTCGAAGAATTTAATTAATCACTCGAATGGTACTTTTTTTTTTCTTTTTGATGTTATTTCAATTTTTTTCTTAAATTTCAGACACGTGGACGATTCCTCGTACTTTTATCTGTATCGTGTATCGTACATCTGGTACAACCCGCTTGGATTTTTTATCACGTTGATCGTTGGATACGTAACGAGTTTGATCACGAGCAGGATATTTCACAAGGACGGCCGTGAACCGGATCCAAGCTTGTTCGTCCCCTTCTTGGCGTCCCGAATCAGGCGGCAAAGACAGAACGAGGGTAAAACTACGAACAGCCAGGTCTTCGTCTTGGAGAGCAGGAAATGAAATAAGAAGGCATCGAATCGAGAATAAAATCCTCTCGAATTAAGCTTCAACAATTTTCGTGATCGCTTCACGTTTTCAGAGAGCTGGAAGGGCGTTCCAACGATTACAAATTGAAGAGCATATATATCGTCAAAGTTTTCCAGGAATGGAGCGGAAAATCCTTTATACCGTTTCTTCTACGAGAGATATAATGTACAAATTTTATAAATTTATGGATGTTAAGAACCTTACGTACCGAGTGAAACTCGACTGCTTCCAACGAGAGCAGCCTCTAACCAGCTCGTCTGACAGGAACATGAATCTTCCCAGTAAGAGGATGTGCTTGAAAAACGAGGGAAATTATTTACAAATTTGGAACCCTTTGCTTTACCTAAAGTATTTAAGTACTTCGAGTACCGTACTTTCTTCCAGTTGCGAGCAATTTTCCGATCAAACGGAAATAATCCGGCGCATGCAGTTCAACGAATAATACTCATTAATAAAGTAAATGCTTGATTCAGTCTTTCCTTCCAATTACCACGTGGATTATCTCGTATTTTCTCGGATCAAACGTTCCGCAGAATCTGCAAACAATTTATCCCTTAAAAAAAAAGAAAAAAGAAAAAAAGAAAAGTGAAGGATCTATCATCGAGCCTCTCCTTAAATTAATTAAAATTTATACACAAAAATGTCCATTCGCGATCGAAAACGATACGAACTAAATGAAATCTAATCATTTACATCCCTTCGAATTCCATCAAATTTTCCAATAATTCGATGAATTAATAATGCGTTTAATTATAAGCTGCCGCTATTTCGCGGCCGTTCGTCATCTTTCCGCATGGTTCATTCGCGACTTAACGAGGGACGATTGGCCAGGAAACGGACGTGAGCCATCCACGAGTGAATATTACATCCAAACACATCTGGGTCGCGTAATACGCAATCTGGAACGATAATAATTTTGCGAAACACGGGAGGAGGCGGGGAGGAAATGATCGCGCGGACAACTTATCCCCGACGGCGCGAACCTATCCGTTTAATTAAACCTGCGCGTCGTCATCCACGCCCATCCATAGCTAGCTCAATAATACCATCGAAAGACACGCAAATAAAAGGATAATTGATTCTTTCAACGCGAGCGGTCGTCCGTTTCATTAAATTTCACACCGAAAACGATCGATCGTGCATCCTCCCGTTATTCACGCGTGAAAATCGACCGCGCGAAATGGACGCGCGAAACGTCGCCACGTTTGCGGAACCGGAATTGTCGTAATTTATCGCGTAATTGTCTTCGAGAGGGGGCTGGCTGGGAAAAGGCTTTATATAATTCGTTTAATCGCGATTTCGAGTTGAATTTTCGTCGTCGTAAATTCGAGGCGGATTCCGCGTGAAAAAAATGAAAGAAAGAGAGGGAAGGGAAGGGAGGAGCGGAGGAAGAGTAATAGGCGAGTAAAGTGTCAGACGAAAATACACGACAATTCGTCCAACCGACGAATAGAGCGTATAAAGTTCGGACGTGTCGAGCCCCCATGTGTCGCGTAAAATTAAAAGCTCGAATTAAAAGCGACGCTTTTCTGTACGTGTTGACGGGGAATTCGTAGATATTTCTCGGAATAAAAATAACAGCCGCGCCCCTGCGGCGATCGGACGATTAATTTCCTGCCGGAGGCCGGTACCCCGGTGTTTCGTACGCGTCATCGATCAGTGAAATTTTCGTTCCGTTGAGACACGTGCGTCCACTCGTTCAAACGTTCGAACGTTGCCACGCATAAATTTCGCGTGTAACCAGAAGAATCCTGTGTATGCTTGAAAAATTTGTTGACGGAGGCGCGTCCATCCTGGCGAGAAAGGGATCCTTGAAAAAGAGAAGAAAGGTGGTGCACGCGTGAGAACGTCGATACAATATTCGATATGAATTTGAAACGAGATCCTATCTCTCGTCGTTAGCCTGATCGAGGGATTGTTGTTTTGATCGATAATGCGAGAAAAGTATTATTTTAACGAGATAATTGCTTCTTTTTTTTTTTGAAGAATGATTATTCTCTCAATTATTCTCTCCTCGATATCTCGAAACTTAAGAAAAATGTTCTTCCTAAAATCCAAGATCTCTGTTATCAAGAGTCCCAATTTTTTCGTGTTTTTCGTTTAATTAATAATTCTATTCTCTTCTCGAAATTCTGGAATTAAATATTTCCTCTTCCCACTTTAGTCGTCACTTTTCGACGAATGAAAATGATAAATCGAAATCCTACTGCATAGATTAATTTTCCTCGGATAATAGGAAAAAACCGCAATGCTGTAAAAACTTATATCGGTGAAGATCTAAGAGATATCCTCTTAGAGATAAATAACGTTGACAAAGGCATTTGCATCCGATCGGTGGTAAGGAACGATTTACAAGCGGCCAGGGATGATTAATCCTCGAATCCTCGTTTACGAAACGTCGTAAAGCTGTTTGCTGTTCGAAGCTGTCATTTCCATGAAATTTAATTACACACTAACCCAACCGCAAGAGAAACCAACCGAGTCATCACGACTAGGATCGCGACGAGTCAAGTTTTATGCATTTCCTCCGCTGGTTGTAAATCCACCTCCCACGTAGAGATCCACTGTATCGGAAGCTACGGCAGCACGAATCTAGGAAGGCAAGCTTGTTAATTGTCTTTTACCGCGTCCTTTCTCCTCGTTGAAAATTGACTGGCTTTCAGAGGCGACGCCAGTTCAGCAACGCTCTTCCGGTACGGATATCCGCGCAATCAGGGGTCCACCTTCTCCCTTCGATTAAAAAGGAGGGGAAAAGTGATCGTTGATCGTTTCAAACGTAGATGACGAATCTCTTATTTTCCAATATTTTCAAACTCATAATTTATCATTTTATTCCAACTTGGAAAAGAAAAAAAGAAAAAGAAAGAAAAAGCGTTTCGATAAAAATAAATATAATTTTTTTTAACTCGAATCGATGAATAAAAAAATTATCGGATCTCTTTCTGATGGATATTTCGTTTTTTAAAAAAAAAAGACTCGAGAGCGAAACGAAAGTAAGTTTCGAAAGCCGATTAGAAACGATGGAGAGAGGAGTAGCGCTTGGAGCGATCGGACGATTTCATGGAGAAGCGGCGTGTAGCCGGTATCCGTTGCGTGACCACGGCCGTAAACCGGCACAATGCGCGGGACCCGATCGAGGTCGATACATCGAACACCTCGGTGGTACAACAACCACGCCGACAAAGTACCGAACAAATGCACCCGGCGAATAAGAAGCGCGGGAGGGCAATAAGATCACGGCAGATGTAAGTATCAGCTGCGCGCCCAGGGGCGGATCGTTGCGTTACCATCGCCACCAGATATTTCCTCGCCTTTCACGAAACTCTCTACCCGATAATCCATCACCGAGCCGACCGAAAAACCGGCCGCTCCTTCCTCGAGCTCGAAACCTTATTCTCGTTAATAAGAAAAAAAAAAAAAAAAGGAACGTCTCCGTGGTACTCGCTCTCCGAGCGCGTATTATTAATAACGTTGCGCAACGCTCAACGTTTCCGTTTGACATATCCTAATTAACGTCGCTATACGAATAATTTACGCTTATTAGAAACGTTGGTCAGATTCCACCATCGTGGGAAGCCTTCAAACGATAATAACGATTTTTTTCGTACACCTTCTCGAAAGATATCCCTTCCGAATCGTTCCAAAAATATCATCCAGGAGGATATTTAACCTTTAACCTTAACCCATTTAACCTTTCTCCTTTGACTACAAAATAGGCACAAGTTCGAAACCCAATTAAATCGAAGCCAGTTCGAAAAAATTCCAATCGCGATCGAGCGGTCGAGATTCTAGGTTCCTGCGGGAAAAGAAACGTTCGAGGAATCGCAGCCACGTGGAAGAAACGCGAGAAAAGGGCCCGGTGGCGAGGCGAGGCGAGGCGAGGCGAGGCTGGGCCCGAGGCTAGGGCCAGGGCGAAAAGAATGCGAGGTCCGGCCGTATCCCGGGTCTTTCACGATAACCTATGCAAAAGACAGTTCGTGCGCCAGGCCTCCGCAAGCCGCTTCTTCTTCACGGAATTCACGATATATACGGCCGGCTATGCATTATAGGGAATACGATATCCATCTTACGTCAGATGCACGGGGATCTTATGGCCGTTGCGGCACCTAGCCTCGAAGCAAAACGAAAACGAAAAAAAAAAAAAAAAGAAAGCGCTACGAAGACTCCCCTTTGGAAGAAAATATCGAGTCGAGTGGTGGTAGTTCTCTTTTTTTTCTTTCTTTTTTTCATCTTCTTCTTGCCCTTCCTTTTGCTATTTCACATTGTATACGTTCGAAGGAGTTGTTCGAGAGGAGAACAACCGCAAAACCACCCGACGAACCCGACTCTTCGCCCCGACCTTCGAGAAGTGATGGAGGAGAGAAGCGGCCATCGCTGTCTCGAACTGTTGCTAACGGTCTTCGTGACGCGGATTTACGGACAGCCGTGTGAAATGATCGCTACCGGGAACGTCGGTGCTTCGGGGTTAGCTGGAATTGTCGAGTTTACCGGCTACCGGTCATGCTTGGGAATGACGTAGATGAAGCGACATTCCTTTTCTCTAAATTCGCAATTATAGATACTCCGAGGTATGCGGGGAATTCTTTCGTCTCTCCGTTGTTTTTACTTTCGCGTATTTTTTTTTTTTCAAATAGAAAGTAATTTATTCTTTGCGTTCCCAGAGAGGAAAAACGTAGAATAACAAATTGGACGATTTATTCTAACTTGAATAATAACTCTAACCTCGCGGGCAAAAGGTGTTATACACCAATACGTTTCACTTCGTGATTTTCACTTCGCAGTTGAAAATCAGCAAGATTGCCAAATAACAATCAACGATGCGATATAACAATAATAAATTTCTCTCGTATTCTTCGAAATTGAGATTGATCACTTGGGCGATCAAGAGGATATGGAAGATAAAGACTGATCTTGGACGATGATCGGGATCGATGAATGAACGAACCAGATAGGATGATGGAAATTCGTGCTGGACGAGCGCCAGACAGATCGAACTGATGAAAATTCATGGGACACCGTGTGGTCGCGTACGAGCGATCGCGAGGAAACGCGGTGGAGGGGATCGACGGAAGGGTGGTGGCGGTGGTGGTGGTGGGGAATGGAGCGAAAGAAAAAAAGAAAAAAAGGAACGAAAATATATAAGAGAGAGGAGATATGGAGGAAAATAAAAAAGAGAGGGAGAGAAAAAGAGAAGTTCGATGAT